ACCTGTCCATGTGGACCTGCCAGTAGCCGCGGCGGGTGACGGGGATGTAGCGCAGGGGTCCCTCGAACTGCCCCTCGTCGATGCCCCCCAGGAGCAGCTCCCCCCCATCGCCCTCCGAGGCCCCGCTGAGACCCCCCCCGGGGCACAAAAATAAAGAGTTCAGGGACTTTGTGGGGACTTTGTGGGGACTTTTTAGGGGTCGTTTTAGGGGGGTTATTTAAGGGCCATTTCGGGGGCCTTGGGGGGGGTCATTTAAGAACCATTTAAGGGCTGTTTGGGGTCATTTAAGGGTCGTTTTGGGGTCCCCTCAGGGGCCCTCTTGGGGTGTTATTTAAGAACCATTTAAAGAACATTTTGGGGATCCCTCAGGGGCCCTTTTGGGGTGTTATTTAAGAACCATTTAAAGACCTTTTGGGGTGTGATTTAAGAAGCATTTGGAGACCATTTCAGGACTCATTTTAGGGTGTTATTTAAGGGCCATTTAAAGACCATTTCAGGAGTCATTAAAAGAACATTTTGGGGCCCCCTCAGGGGCTCTTTTGGGGTGTCATTCAAGAACCATTTAAGGACCATTTTGGGGTGTGATTTAAGAACCATTTAAGGACCATTTGGGGTGTGATTTCAGGACCATTTGGGGGATCATTTAAGGACCATTTTGGGGTGTGATTTAAGAACCATTTAAAGACCATTTGGGGTGTGATTTCAGGACCATTTGGGGTGTGATTTCAGGACCATTTTGGGATGTTATTTAAGAACCATTTAAAGACCATTTCAGGACTCATTTAAGGACCATTTTGGGGTGTTGTTTAAGACCATTTAAAGACCATTTGGGGGGTCATTTGAGGGTCATTTTGGGGTGTTATTTAAGAACCATTTAAGGGCCATTTGGGGTGTGATTTAAGAACCATTTAAGGACCATTTGGGGTGTTATTTAAGAACCATTTAAAGACCATTTGGGGTGTGATTTCAGGACCATTTGGGGTGTGATTTCAGGACCATTTTGGGGTGCGATTTAAGAACCATTTAAGGGCCATTTGGGGTGCGATTTAAGGACCATTTAAAGACCATTTGGGGTGTGATTTCAGGACCATTTTGGGGTGCGATTTAAGAACCATTTAAGGACCATTTTGGGGTGCGATTTAAGGACCATTTAAAGACCATTTGGGGTGTGATTTCAGGACCATTTTTGGGGTGCGATTTAAGAACCATTTCAGGGTTCCCCTCAGGACCATTCCAGGGTTATCCCGCAGTTCTTCCCCCCCTCCCCGGTACCTCCTGAGGCGGAAGGAGAAGACGTTGTTCCGGAAGAGCCCCCGGCCCATCATGTTGTCGAAGACGGGCCGGGCGGGGCCGGCGGCGGCGCTGGGGAAGGCCAAGCCCAGCACTCCATCGAACCGAGCGGCGGCGAAGGCCAAACCCGGCAGGGCCACGGCCTCGGCAAACGTCTGGTTGGGCACTGACACGTTCGACACCTGTGGGGGGGACAGGGACAGGGACAGGGGAGA